CCAAGATAAACACAGAATCATATCAGTCCTTGTTCTGGGGTCATGTAACTTCTGCAATAAGCTCTGGGTGTATGGCAAGGTCACCAGGGATGTGACCCATTAGAGCCGGTGCAATAGTGGATTTCAGACGTTTCCATTACACATCCAACTCTCTCTTGGTACAGTATTAATAACGCCAGGTGATGAAAGGTCAGATACAGACAATGTCAGGAAAAAAAGCTTTTTATATAATAAGAGTTATTTCTAGGAGCAAGTACATATAAAAGGCCGGACAAACTCATCCTTCATGAGTCCATATTTACCATTGTGTTGTTGAGCAGATGTTTTTTTAAATCTGAACTTCGGGGAAGAAAATCCTTCAACTTAAAGTGAAACTAAACTCAGGACTTAAATCTTAATACTTTACCTATTAACAAAAATTTATCTTATTTGTGTATCACTCGGCTGTAGATCATCAAATCATATCTGAATTGGTGCTGACACTGTACTTCCTTCTGGTGGCTACTTTTGTTCTCCATGGTCGCTGTCAGGACCGGATTTACCCTCCCTGCCGCCCCAAGGCCGGGTTCGGCAATGCCCCCCTCCCCGCCGAGGGAATGCGGGGGCTGCAGGGTTGGTTTTAATTTTTTTATGGGTTTTTTTTTTGTTTCTGTCCTTTTTTTTACTTTTTTATCACTTTTTATTTTATTTTAATTTTTTTTTTACTTTTTACATTTTCATTTATCTTGTCATCTTTTACTTTTTTATTTGTTGATAATTTTTTTACTTATTTTTTATTTATAATTATTTTCTTATTTTTTATATACTGATTACAAGTGTTCTCGGCAACATCGCCGAGAACACTTGTAAAGAAAAAGTAATTTCTCCTATTCTACCTTTAGCAGGGCTAAATGTAGAAAGTAAATTACCGCCCGGCGCCCGGAAACTCTATGTTCCGGGTGTCGGGTGATTCAAGCCTGTGCCGCCCCTCTGCTCAGTGCTGCCCCGAGTCCGGGCCTCGGTGGCCTTTTGCCGGGAATCCGGCCCTGGTCGATGTGTGTGTTGTAAAGTAGCCACCGCTCCAAGATCGCTCCAGTGATGGACTACAATCTCAATACAAATGAGTAAACTAAAGGTGGGCACTCGAGGTAGCTAGTTTGCATATCACTATCCCTCCCATCTTTACAAGCTGATATAAAATTAGTTAATAGATTATATTTAGACATAGGGCTTAATTAAAATGATATGTCACCCCTTGGCCATTGAATTTATTCTGTGCACTATGATTTTTGTCATATATTACATTACATATTTTCAAAATGTTTCATGTAAATAAGTGTATTGTCCACGCTGTAGAATATTGATGATCTAAAATGTGTCTGAAAGGTTACATAAAACATAAAAGAAACGAGGGGAAAGCCCACTGCCTCCTGAAAGTTTGAGGAAGTGTTTTGGAAACTTTTTGTTGAGATTGCAGTTCTTTTGTACTGCGTTTCTATTACTAATTCTTGCTGGGGTTGTACATCTTTTTATTATTGTCTTGACTTTCTTACTGCTTCACCTAGAGAATTTTTAATATCCACTGATATCAGACAGAATTATGCTGTTTTCTAGACTTTTGTGACATAGAAAAGTTTTCTTGATGATGGATCCCCCTGCACCTCCAGCAGAATAAATTGATTTTCTGGATGTGGTTTTATTTGTTACATAAGACAGTCGCATTTGCAGCAAAAGGAAAGCTGAATGTAATAGATTTTTTGACAAAGTCCATAATTGCCATCTGCGCTGGGTAAGTTCTTCCCAGCTCAATTTCACAGGCTTTGCAGAAATTGTTCTACTATAGCAGATTATGAGTTATAACCAACAAAAACACAGTGAATGGCATATCTCAGAACACCGAGAAATGCTATCAAAGTATGCTTCGGTGTGCTAAATTACATACATATAAACTCTATCAGCGTGGTGACTTAGTGGCAGTGCTGGTATGCTGTGTATGATTTCCACTTCTCTGTCTGCATGGTGTTTTGTATATTCTATTTAAGTTTTTATTGAGTTTATTCACATTTTTTGTATATTCTTTTATGTTGGTGAAGGTTTCCCATACCTCTCAAAGTTCCGAGACGAAAAGAAGGGACACCATGCACAGCAATTAGGGGGGATTTACCAAAACTGGAGCAAACAAAATCTGGAGCAGCTGTGCATGGCAATCAATCAGCTTCTCTCTTCAATTTGTATAGTTAAGATTTGAAAATGAGAGAGAGAGGTTGATTGGTTGTCATGCACAGCTGCTCCAGATTTTGTCTGCTCCAGTTTTGATAAATTCCCTTCAATGTATTTAAGTGGAAGCACCCCTGTGCTAAATTACATACATACAAACTCTATCAGTGTGGTGATTAGTGGCAATGCTGAAATGCTGGGTATGATTTCTACTTCTCTGCCTGCATAGAATTTGTATATTATTTCATGTTTGTGAAGGTACTCAATACCTGCCAGAGTTCTGAAATGAGAAGGAGGGACACCTTGCACAGCAATGGGGGAAATTGATCAAAACTGGAGCAAACTAAATCTGGAGCAGCTGCACATGGCAACCAATTAGCTTTTCTCTGTAGTTTGCTTGGTTAAGATTTGAAAATCAAAGAGAGCAATGTATTTAGGCACTATTACCTTTCCTTTCTACGGACTATTCAAAATAGTAAACAAGATAATTAAGAGGTAAGGTAAAGGTTTTAGTGCATAATAACACGTTTGTTATTATAGTAGAACCTTTTCATTGCTATCTGTACATCAGACCAAAAAAGACAACTGAGGAGGAAAGAGGGACAGAGGGGATGTGATTCCAAATGAGGGACAGTCGGGACTCTGGTTTCCTCTTGCAACTGAAAAACATTCTGGTAGGTTTATTACTCTATATTGGCTTGTGTGTGTGTGTGTGTGTGTGTGTGTCTGTGTATTGGCTCTAGTGTGTGTGTTTGTAATTTTCAGTTATGCCTCTGAACTCCGTATCCTACACTATTTATATGCCCACTTAAAGGTTACCAGTGTTTACCCCTACACATATTGATACAACAAGAATAATACATTGCCATTTGGGTAATAGTCCCAAACACAATAAAATATGGTGTTACTATATAGAAATAGCAAATATACTAGTAAAATAATGAATTATGCAATAAAGGATTACCTTTGTACAATGTACAGTTTAAGAAAGAGAGGTCATCAATGGCAATGTCCCCAGTGAACCCATCACCCACCATGCCTGTGATCAATAGCTGAAATAAGAAAACAAACAGAAACATTGGTCCCATGGTAAATCCACCGGAAGCATAATTTATGAAAAAGGACAACAGTATAATCCCATTACCATTTTTATACAATTATAATCCCGTGTGTAAACACTAACTTACATTAATGGTGTTGTTATTATTATGCTTCTTAATGCCAGCCAAAAAAGTAGTCATTTTTAATAAAGCTCTTGTGAGTGATCATTTGCCACCATAACTAAAGAGGCCTGTAATAGGAAAAACTAGCTTATCTTCCATAATTCTATAAGAGTCTACTGTTTTTTGTTTTTTTTTGGCTTAGATATACTTTAAGAGAAATGTAAACTATGATGGCACTTTTATAAACATTTGGAAGCTGGTACATAATGACAGTGCATGTTGTCACTGTCAGCAAGGGAGTTGACAGTGTAGTTACTGTCTAGTCGAGTGGTTATCAACCTACAAGGTATAGGGAGCCTCAAATGCAGCTCCTTACCAAAGGACCATACATAATGTTCAGTGTATGTAAAGCTAAAAAGAACTGCAGAATTACTAGATGAAATCATGGTCAGAGATTGGGGACATGCTGCAGGTTTGGTTGAAGACTGGAGATGTGCTACAAAAGACAGTAAGCAGCTAAAGGCATGTTAAATGAGGCTAGTAGAGATCACTTCTATTATCCCTTTACAAAGCAATACTCCCACTCCTACTACAGGCTGATGGATTCTGAGGGCCACACAAGTACCAAAGGACAAATATGGCCCTTGAGCCGCAGGTTAGGAACATGGGGGCCTAATCTCAAAGAGCATATATTCTTCTCCTCTCAGCTCTGAGTTTCAGAAACTTCAGAACAAAGAGAGTGTCAGACCAATGGTAAAGTCTATGTAACAATATAAAACATATTTGTTATCAATAAATAGAGTTTCTTACATGGACTTTACTTTACCATTGGTGTGACACCCTCCTCTCTCACCTGATACCCCATCTATGGACATTTTGGTTTCAGAGCTGTCTTGTCAAAGCCATATCACTTCGGAACGTTAAATCTTTATTTCATTTTAGATTTAGTTGGAAAATATTAAAACCCCTGTTGGGTTTTTGCTGTTATCCAGCACACCATTAGATAGATTTTCCTTACTGTAATAATGGTTTTACCAGACAGGAAGTAATCATAAATCTCCAACAGTAAGCAAAGCAAAAAAATATATA